ACCTCTTCAAATTATTTCGAAAGAGAAAGTGGTTTCCATGGGGTTTTTGAGTATCAGCCAAACATTTAGTTTGAACACAAGCACTAAAACTTTAAACAAAATATGCAACTACTTCTCTAAACCCTGACCTCATTTTTCTTGCGATGACATGTATTTTCTTCCTTTACCTACCTTATCTAAAAAGACTGGAGATTAACGGTTTAAGAAGTTGAAAACAAGCTGGGTTTGTGAAGTTTTTTTTCAACACTTGTACACCAATCACACATTCAGCAACGTAACTTAGATACGCCGGAAGAAGTAACCAGGCAAATGTTGCTAAGCAATGGTGCTGAGAAATATAAGTATAGGCTAATAGATAACATTGTAAGATTTATAGCAATAAGTCTGTGAATTAATAATTGCCAAAATTATTAAAACCATAAAATACTGGTCTTGCGGTAAGTTTATAACGCCGTATTGGTTCTAAAACACACATAAATTGGATTAAAATTTAACTTCCAATAACATTTCAACAATTTTAAAGCGCTAAACAAACACTTTAAAATATGTAACTTCATGAACAGTGAGTTAATATTTGTGTTTAAACCGGAGACTAGCGTATTGTACAGACATAAAACATCTTTTTACAAACATAAAACATCGTTATACAAACACAAAACATCTTTATACAAATATAAAACATTTTTTTACAGACATAAAACATCGTTATACAAACACAAAACACCGTTATACAAACATAAAGCACCGTTATACAAATATAAACACCATTATACAAACATAAAACATTCTAAAAATATTTAAGTTATGTTTTTGATTGTCACAACTACACCTGTTATGACTGAGTTCATGTTAAACTAGACCATCGGGTCCCTCGACGACAGGGCGGTAAGATTATGGACTAGCAACACTAAAATTCGGGGTTCGATTCAACGCGGTGGACACAGCAGATAGCCCAATGTGATTTTGCTCTAAAACAAATTATATCCATCGATGGCTGAGCGGTAAGCTTGTGGGCTTATAATGCCAAATATCATGGTTCGATACCTGCGGTCCAGATAACTCATTGTTTAGCTTTACAGTTAAACATAAGTCAAAGAAATGATTATTTTATCAAAAACCCACCTGTACGATAGTCCACGTAATAGTTACTCGGTTATTATACTTACAATGTATAAATCTGTCTGGGTTATTAACTAATTAGAAAACGTGATGTATCAGAATGCAATAGCAAGCATCTGAAAACTTACCCTCAACACTGAAGTAAAAGTGGTTGTATCTTATATAAGACAGCGACATCTCACAAAAATTATATAATTTAGCCTAGCAACCCAGTGGCTCAGTACTAAGTCTGAGAGCTTATAACTCTAAAATTAGGATTTCGATACCCGTGGCGGGCACAGCAGAAATAACCTATTGTGTGTAGCTTTGCGCTTACAACAAGCAAGCAAGTAATTTAGGTATTTTCTAGTTTATTACGTGTTTTCGTCCATATGTTTAACATATGCATTACTGTTGTTAAACAACAGGTGAAACGAATTTAATTTCGATATGACTACGGCAGATCAGATTTCTAGAAACCATCTAGTTTGAAGCTCGAGCTCACAGTGATTTTCACTATTACTTTGAAAGGTTAATAGTTACGCTTATTTTTGGCATAGAGGGAAAGACTTTCCCGGTCAAAAAAATAAATCCCTTAGTGACTGATCCACACCCCATTGAGGTCCGTCGAGGTCACGCGGGTGAAGAAAGGGGTTGATTTGTTTGTTTATTTATTGACAAATTTCGCGTACAGTTACACAAAAGTATTTGCTCGTAGTCGTCCCTAATTTAGCAGCTATAGGCTAGAGGGAAGGCAGTTAGGCAACATCACCCACCGCCAACTCTTGGGCTACTCTTTTACCAACGTATAGTGGGATTGGCCGTCACATTATAACGCCCCCATGGCTGAAAGGGCGAGAATGTTTGGTGTGACGGGGATTCGAACCCGCGACCCTCAGATTGCGAGTCGAGCACCTTAACCATCTGGCAATGCCGGGCCACAATTGGCTACTCTTGGGCTACTCTTTTACCAATGTATAGTGGGATTGGCCGTCACATTATAACGCCACTACGGCTGAAATGGCGAGCATGTTTGGTGTGACGGGGATTCGAACCCGTGACCATCAGATTGCGAGTCGAGCACCTTAACCACCTGGCAATGCCGGGCCACAATTGGCTGGACTGATCACAAGGGATGATACTCGAACTTAAGTTTCTCATCTGTTTGTAATTATGGACTTTAATGTTGGTATGGGTTAATATGTTTCCTTTACTTGTATGTATAAGATGATCTAGAGGTTATCATGGTGTAGTAAAAAACAAAATACTGATGTTTTGCACCTAGGTGTCGAAAGGTTAATTTGCTCATAAATAAGTATATATATAGGTGTAAACACCTGAAACGTTTATTGTAAATAAAGGAGCAGGAAACAGTTTGGAAATTTGCTCAATAATCTGCTGTCATTTATTTTTACTGGTTATAAAAATAATCAGTAAGAAAAGTAATTTACGACGTTAGGAAAACCGAAATTTAAAAATCAATTAAAGACAAAAAATGAGTACGTCTGTAACCTGACCACTTCCTTCATCAGGGGCAAATTGGGCATGTAAGTAAATTGGGGTGTGAGAAAAAGTGGAATGACGTCACCGGAAAGTGTTTTGATTAGCTTTCAAAGAATAATTGCAGGTATGACTCATTTCCGTTGTGCAATAACACAAGTTACGAGAACGTTAGATATAAAGAGGTCAGATAGGTTTCGTGTTAATCAGTAAGAAGTAAATCGTAGCTGCGTGAAATTTCAAGCCAAAGAAACACTCTTTTTTTAAAAAAAACTCGGTAAAAGCGTTCGAAAATATTCTTTTCCTTCATGTAACAAAAAACACAAACTAAGGAAATAACTTTACTCAGAAACGTGTGCTGAAAGTCATTTTGTGATGTTTAGTTTCAACTTGACCTAGAAATGGTTGCGTAGGAGAAACAGGATTGCCTGTTACTCAGAAAACCACCTCCTAACAGGTTTTGGTTCTTGTACCGTAGTTCTGGTGATTAGAATGCTCGAGTTCCAATCTGTGGGTCACGGGGCTCGAATTCCTGTAACCGAACATGGTTGTCCTTTCAGCAGTGGGGGCATTATAATGTTACGGACAGTCCCACTATTCGTTGGTAAAAGAGTAGCCAGAGAGATGGCGGTGGGTGGTGTTGACTCGCTGCCTTCCATCTAGTTTATCTTTGCTAAATTAGGACCAGCTAGCACAGATAGCCTTCTAGTAGATTTGCGCGAAATTCAAACTAAACCAAGTTTTTGTACTGCAAGAATGTAATTAACACACGTCTAATTAACTAAAGTTATTCCATCGATATTTCCAATCCTTATGGATTTCTCTCTGTCTCTCTTTTTTTTTTTTGTTCACAGAAAGAAACTGTTCTTCATAATAAATCTTACAAATAACACTTCACAGTTTCAGCAAAAATTTACTTATCCAAACCAGATCTTACCCAAAAGTCAATTTTAATTAAGATAATGACATCGAAACTGTATCAGAAAGTAGAGATCCTATGATGTTAGCTATACAACGTGTCTTATATGTATGGTGTTAGCTATACAGCGTGTCTTAAGTGTTTGATGTTAGCTATACGACGTGTCTTAAGTGTTAACAAAATCGTTTACTTTGGAGCCAGTATAGAATTCCATTAGACCAACAAAAGTACATAGCATACATTATTGCAGGAGGTGGAAGGAAAGACAAGTTAGTCGACAGCATCCATCGTTAACTCTTAGTCTACTATTGTCTGATCGAACAGTGGGACTTGGTCGTCAGCTTTATAAAGCACCCACGTCTCCAAAGTACTGAGCTAGATATTTTTTCATTAACGGGACTCGAACATTGAACCACAGATTCATAGTTCAGCACGCTAACAACTGGACCACGCTCGGCCCTAAATGTTAGTAGAAGTATTGAAAATTGTTCGGAACACATTGTTTAGTGTTACCTTGAGCTTGTCTTAAAACAACACATCAAAGGTTTTGGTGTGAATGTTTACACCAAAGGTTTTGGTATGAATGTTGTACTAGGGTCCCCTGTGTATATTACACAACAAATGAGTGATTCCACCAGTTAGTTATTTCTTGTGTTCCCTGTAGATGTTACACAAGAAATGAGTGATTCCACCAGTTAGTTATTTTTGTGGTCCCCTCTGTATATTACACAGCAAGCGAGTTATTCCACCCGTCAGTTATTTCTGTAGTTCCCCCTGTATGTTACACAAGAAATGAGTTATTCCACCCGTCAGTTATTTTTGTGGTCCACTCTGTATATTACACAAGAAATGAGTGATTCCACCCGTCAGTTATTTCTGTAGTTCCCCCTGTATATTACACAAGAAATGAGTGATTCCACCAGTTAGTTATTTTTGTGGTCCCCTCTGTATATTACACAAGAAATGAGTGATTCCACTCGTTAATTATTTCTTGTGTTCCCTGTAGATGTTACACAAGAAATGAGTGATTCCACCAGTTAGTTATTTTTGTGGTCCCCTCTGTATATTACACAAGAAATGAGTGATTCCACCAGTTAGTTATTTTTGTGGTCCCCTCTGTATATTACACAAGAAATGAGTGATTCCACCCGTTAGTTATCTGTGGTCCACTCTGTATATTACACAAGAAATGAGTGATTCCACCCGTTAGTTATTTCTAGAGTCCGTGTGTATGTTACACATTTTGCTGGTCAGTTATTTACAACAAGTGTTGTAATAAGCAAGGAAATATGTCATATGTGGACCAGACCGGAGAGGAACGATTTAAAAGTACCTCGATTTAAGAGTTAAATAAAAACATAAACTAACATTGACTATCAAACTTACACTGATTTGATTGTGATACGAGCTCAGTTTTACAGCTACAATATTTAAGTAAAGATAATTATATTTTGATTTGGAAGTAAATTTCAATGTTCATGTAATGGTATGGTATTTATTTCTCTCCAGGTCATCAGCTGTCGTGTTGTCACTCTTAGTGGTGACACACGCCCATGTGTTACGCGAGAAGCGTCAATTGTCTTTAAATGGTCAACCAAAGAACAATCCAAATGAACAGTTCCAGACCTCAGAAACCCCTCAGAGATCCAAATATCAGCTTCCTTTGCCCCCTCAACCTAAACCCCAGGTAAATGTGCAGTTGCCACCTGGAGTTTCGTATAACATACAGACTAACGTCCAGGCCACTCCTCTTCACTCTCTGAAACAACAGTATGAACCATCATTCCAAACAACTGCCCAACAAGAGAGAAATCACCCACAGTATCAACCCCCAATTCTTCCACAGCAGTTTAATGCCCAACCTCAGTTTAGTTTCCATCCACAATCACAGCAACATCAAAATTTACAACAAAACCCCCTAGGTCATACATTTCAGCCGCCCAATCCACAGCAGGGTGGAAACCAACAGGTGATTTACATTAATGGTCAGCCAGTAGTCATCAATGCCCCTAAAGACCGAGGCCCAGTAACACCTACAAGTCAGCAGCAATCGGGCTCACAAGGTGTTTCTTTTTCAACTTCTCACTCCACTGAAGTGATCCGTCAGGGTAAGATAGGATCTGCGCAGCCATCTGTGCAATCTGTGATCCAGAAAGCACCAGCCTCTGAGATCGAATTCAACAAAGGACCAACCGTTAAAGATAAAGACGGTAAGCAGGACGAGTACGTAATTTACTATTACTACTATTATGATGACGATGCCAATAAAACTAACCCAACACTCAACTTTGATGACATTCCAAATCTTGAAACGTATGACCAGTCCCAAAGAGACAAAGCACAAAAAAGCAGTGAAAGAGCTAGTATCCCACAAAACGTGATAAATAACGCCTTCAAGGACAATAACGATTTTTCGGGTTCCCAGACAGTTTCCCAAATCTCTGGTCAAGACGGAGTATCGACTGAAGTTCTCAAATCCGGCGCAGTCTCTTCAGTATCAGTGTCTGTACCCAAGGACTCTCCCATTTCCAACATTTACCGCTATGGAAACAATGTTCCCAGATTCCCTATATCACCAAATTTAGTAGACCATCAGAATGGTGGTCACTCAGAAATATCCAATAAGGGAATACTTAATGATCGCAAATCTGACTCAAAAACATTAGTTAATAGTTCTGGTGGGTCAGAAAGCACTCCTTTGTCAACGTCGGCTCTCTTTGTAAATAAAGAATCAAGCCAGGAGAAAAAATTTGAACATAATAATGAAGTAATCGAAGCTAAAACTGAATCAGAAACCACAGAGGCAATTACCACTACAACTGAAGCTACAACTACTACCGAAGAACCCACAACCACTACAGAAAGAAATCAAAGACGTACATTTGGTTCTCGAGGAAGATTCGGGACAAGAAGACGAAGACCAGGAGCATTTAATATACGTCCTAGGAGGCCTAAGTCAACGACGACAACAACAATCTCTGAGTCCACTACAGATGAAGAAACCTCAACAAGAGGATTTCAGCCCCGCACTAGAGGTAGACAAAGGAATCGTTTTCGATCTTCTTTCCGAAGAAATCGTTTTCGTAATTCCAATGTTGATAAAGAAGAAACAGGGGATGAGAAAAAGGAAATTACAACTACTGAATCATCTACTTATGGCACAACAAGACGACGTTTTGGAAGTTCCAGGCTTTATGGAAATAGCAGAAACTCGGGTCGACCTTCTTCAGAGGACAATGAAGAACTCTCAACATCTAAACCCACTCGTACTCCATCAAGTTTCTTGAGTCGTAGGCGGAAACTAAGCAGACCTCGTCTATCATTCTTGCGCGGTGGTCGAAATAGATTTGGACATCATAATGAGGAAAAAGAAGAAGAAGAAGAACAAGAAGAAGAAAAAACTACCAGTACCTCCACGCCAGTCACAGATGCTCCAGAGACTACTGTTGTGACCTCAGCACCCACAGAAGCCCCTGAAGAAAAAGAAGACGAGGAACCAGTGGATGTAGTCGATCAAGAAACTACCACAACTGAAAGCAGTCGTTTTGCTGGACTTTTTAGGCGAAGGAAGAGACCATCTATATTTGGAAACCGTCCAAGCTTCTTGAATAGATCGGGTTGAGAAAACGATGAAGAAAAGAAAGATTGGAGTTGACATATATTAATATGTGTCAAACTATTGTGCCTTCTCTCTTTTGTGCATTTAAAGATTAATTTAATATTGAAATGATGATCAAATTCCAACTTAAAGCATTAAAAAGTTATTTCAAATATCATACAACAACAAAATGTTATTAATTGTTTTTGTCTATTCGTGCTCTCGATTTACTCATTTCCTTTAAGCCTCAAGTATCAATAAAACTAGCACAAAATCATAGATTTGAATTTATTTTTTGTACGATATAAAAAGAGCAAAAATAATTTCAAATTTAAAAACTTTTCCTTTAGTAATGCTTATTTTATAAATTTAGGTAGAAATTTTTGGCATTTCATATGTATTATAAAGAAGAATTAACCTTACATTTTGTTAAGCTTGGTATTTAAATGAAGTAAGCTGAATATCCAAATTGGAAACGTTACAATAGCTAGCGGCTGTAATGTTGTTGTTTCAGATCGACGATTGTGTATGTTTGTTAGTTCATATTAACTCACGTGTTCCCTAACTTCTCGGGAGTTTTTATTGATAAAACGTGCTTTCGTTTTACTCAGTGGATAAAAGATAATGATCACAATACAATTTTATCAAAACACTGAGCTAAATCTCTGAAACAGTAACTAAAGTTCCAGTCAGTCTTAAACTTTATAGAATAAGCATGGCACCCTAAACCTAGGAAGCACCTCCAGTGATCCTAGTGTAAGTTTCAATGTTACTATAGTGACGAAAGTTTGGTACGGTAAGTCTTGTTGTCAAGGTGAGTAAAAGTTTCGGTGTTACTATAGTGACGAAAGTTTGGTACGGTAAGTCTTGTTGTCAAGGTGAGTAAAAGTTTCGGTATTACTATAGTGACGAAAGTTTGGTACGGTACGTCTTGTTGTCAAGGTGAGTAAAAGTTTCAATGTTACTTTAGTGTTATGTTGTGACTTGTTGTCAGGGTGAATAAAAATGTACAAAATATTCGCTAGAGCTTTGGAGTTTAATGGTTTAACTTGAATACATTGAGAAGATATATGACAAAATCAAAAACACACAATTGGACTAGCGACAGATTCACATAACGTCCCTTTGTAATGGCGAATATTACACAGTTAGATCGTCTTAATATAAAAGATAACAGTTCAACTATATTAGTAAAATAAATCTTGAATAATTAGAGCTTTTCAGCAGTTTTATTCTTAGTGTTATTCTGTGCTGTAAGGAATTTTGGATCTCGTAAAAACTAAATTGTAAACATTTTATTGTTATAAAATGTTTAACATTTTATAGATGTGTGGAGAGGGGGAATATTTAATACGAAACTTACCAAAACATGCAATACAAAACTCACCAATACGTGTAACACGAAACTCATCATGTCATATAACACAAGACTCATCAAACTAAGCTTACCAAAACATGCAATACAAAACTCAACAAAGAATGTAACACAAAACTCACCAAGACATATAAAATTAAACTTATCAAAATATTAAATACGAAACTCACCAAATCACGTAACACAAAACTCACAAAATCATGCAACACAGAGCTCACGAACTCGTGTTATTTAAAACTCACCAAGTACGTAGTACGAAATTTACCAAGAGATGGAATACAAACACACACACGCCAAGGTTTACTTTCAAATATCTGTGAATGTGCTTCTATGTATTACCAGTTCACTCAAGAACTCATGTAACACAAAAACTGTCTCCAGTTATCTAGTAAAAAATTTAAGTTTTAAAACGGGCACAGATGTTAGATTATAACACCAGTCTAACACGAATAAGTAAGTATATAACCCTAAAAGAATATTCATGAAACTTTTTCTCCAGTTATCAATCTCCGTCTGAACGAAGGTATTTTTGTTGTTTTTTGTTCTTACAATATGCGCACTTAGAATTTACGTAGTAATAAGTTTATGAAATAAATTATTTTAAGCCTAATTATTTTCAATTCCTTAACGCAAATGTATTTATTCTTGTCATAACTGCGCATGTCTATGGGTGTACTTTTAATGACTCAATTTTATGCAGGCTACGCCTTCACTCACGCATTATATCTATTACTAAGTTTTCAGACAAAGCAATAAAATTGTAACCAGTGAGTGTGTGCTGTAAAAATATTAATTTCCAATATATTTTTATATATATATGTATAAGCTAAAAAAAAAATATATTTTATTTTACTTTGAGAGTATGTGGCATTCTTGAAGGTTCAATAAAACGTTTCATTATAGCTGTGCTTCAGAATGTAGAAATTTGTATGTTTGTTCTTGAACGCAAAGCTACATCGTGGGCTATCTGTGCATCACTGGTATCGAAACCCGTTTTTTAACGTTATAAGCCTTCAGACCTGCCGCTGAGCCAGTGGTGGACAAGGATATAGAAGAAAAGCACCAGGATCAGTCAATCATTTAAGAACATTAAAATAGAAGTAGATAAAAAACGCCAACCATTTAAAACCAAACATGTTTAATAGAAACCTTACACACGATATTAACATGTAATTTACTCCGTCAAGAAGAAAAATCCGAGGATCTGAAGAACAGTAGAATTATAATTCGAAACATAGAATAATACACTAAACAAATATTCATTGTCAACAACAAATAGTTTAAGGGATATTGTGGTCCTTGTTTTGTTGTTGTTTTTCCTAACTATAAACACTTTACGACAATCTATTGTATCAAGAGTATTTTTAGACATTGTAGATATAGTAGAGGTTTGGCTTGATGTAGGCCTCATTAAAAGCAGAAAAGTCGTCCTACTCTCCAAACAGGCAGGAACAGTCCAAACGTCCTACTCTCCAAACAGACAGTAACAGTCCAAACGTCCTACTCTCCAAACAGACGTAACAGTCCAAACGTCCTACTCTCCAAACAGGCAGGAACAGTCCAAACGTCCCACTTTTCACACAGACAGTAACATTCCAAACGTCCTACTCTCCAAACAGACAGTACCAGTCCAAACGTCCCACTCTCCAAACAGGCAGGGGACGTTTGGACTGTTTACTCTCCAAACAGACAGTAACAGTCCCCCTCTCCAAACAAGCAGGAACAGTCCAAACGTCCTACTCTCCAAACAGACAGTAACAGTCCCACTCTCCAAACAGAATATGTGGCAAGCACGTCTCATGTTATAGACTGGAGTAACGTTAAACTGATAAATCGGGTTGAGTTGAAATTTAAATTAAATATTAGAGAAACAAAAGAGATTTTGCTGAATAAATAAGTTGGTCCAGACTTAGGAGAAACAAAGTACTGGACATATGTTTTATAAACTCTGAGTGTTTTAAGTCTAGATGGCGCTAAAGGAATGGAAATGATTATGTAGTATATAAGTATTGACCAAACTTCAACAAAAAGCTTACATAAATAGTATTCTGACCATTTCTGGGTTTTGTTGTGTCCCGGCCAGCCTAAAAAGCTTGGGATCGTGTAGCTTAATAAGAAACAACAACAAAATTAAGTCGAAATAATCTTGATATTTATTTGTCGCTAAAAGTACAGATGTGGGTGAGAATCGTGGAATTCGTATCCATACATTCTAGACAGAAAATTTATAGTTATAAACTAGTCTAGCTTTTAAACTATGACTTCGCTGTTTTTTATTCTGAAGATTTATACGTGTTATTAACATGTGTAACTTTTTAAAGCAGTTTTAGTGTTTCTAACAACAAAATCTACTATGTGACACTGCAACCTTTCTTCACTAAAAATGATAAAGCAAGTCCTACAAAAATAGGTCAGATGTATGCTTAGTTTTCTGGGCTAAATTCCAAAACAGAAAACCCCTAAAGAAGTTGACCTATATTCGACTCTATTAGCTCCCAAACCAACCTGAGAAATGAATACGTTGATATAGAAACTTTGTTTGCAACAATAACGTTTTCCATAACATCAGATGGCCTAACCTGTTATTGTCCATAACATCAAATGACCTAGTCTGTTATTGTCCATAACATCAGATGACCTAGCCTGTTATTGTCCATAACATCAGATGACCTAATCTGTTATTGTCCATGACATCAGATGACCTAACCTATTATTGTCCATAACATCAGATGACCTAATCTGTTATTGTCGCAGAAATTCTTCAGCTATATGAAAGTTGCTTCAGACGAATGTTGACCTATTGCATTATTACTCGGAATCTATTTAAGCTACAGTTTTGAAGTTTGTTAGACGTCTACGGTTCTAATATGATAAAACATTATCTTGCCATTTCACTCATCGACATACTTTCGAGAGTTTTAGGTTTTTCTTCTCTTTAATATATATATTTAGGTTAATCGCAAACGTATTATGCATATTCCTTTGATATTTTATACTGGGTGTTATGATATAAAAAACTGTTTAGTTTAGATATTATTGATTAATTTATTTTTTGTGGGTGATTATTTTATTATTGTTTAGTTTTTGTTATAATAAGAGTTAAAAGCAGACGATTTTAGGAAGTTATGTTTATAAGTCATTGATGTTGAGACTATCGAACGTCGCATGCAATACACTGACGTCGAGAATATATAGAATTCCAGAAGGCGGACAGATGATTAAGATATAAATAGTGTGAGACTAGCGGAAACAGCAGACAGACGATAGCAGAAGAGAGTAAAGTTAAGGGCAAGGAAAAGTTCGGCGTGAAGTTAACTACCATAGAAGTGGTAGGCCTAACGTTTAATATGTTAGAGTAAGACTAACAGTAGAAAAGGAGATAAGAAGAAGAATTTATTTTGTCAAAGCATGGTTCTAAAGTAATTGAATCAGCCTGAGTGCACTTTGACAAAAGGAACAGAGGATATTTTGAAGAAAGAAGACCAAACGATTATCGATAACTCGCACCACAACTGTAAGTGAATCACACACAGAATACTAGCGCGATAGTGATAGAGAAGGTAGTTCGGTTTGTCAACCGAAATTCTAAGGCAATGAATAGGCCTAAATGGACTTTTGACAACAAGAAGAAAACTATATATATATATAGTGTCTATGATATGGCTATAATCTATATAGTGTGAAGAATTTCTTGTAACTTGTTCCGAATATATACATATATATATTATTTTGAAAACAAGTAAAGTGTGTGCTGTTTATTAATCGTTTAATTTATCGTCAAGAAGTCACAGACACCTACTGTAGAAGAACCCTAAGTCCAACAACAACACAGTTATATATTTATGCTATTAAGAAATATAATTAAAAGCCTTTTATTTTGACAACTGGCTAAAAGTATTATATTTTAAATTCTGATACTGGGTTATTTGTTTCAAACATCTAAGATGTCTTTCCATCGTATATTATTATTCAGATAACTTTCAGAAAAACAGCTAGGAAACAACTGCAATAAGAAAAAGCTATCTTCTATTGTTGGCACTTAAAGTAAAACACAAACCAATTAATGTCAAATCTAATAATGTTATGAAGTGGATAACACATCACACTTCAGCACGACTTCAAGTCCATGTTGGGTTTTTTACTGTTCGCTTTGTTTGTTTTGTTTTTGAATTTCGCGCAAAGCTACACGAGGGCTATCTGCACTAGCCGTCCCTAATTTAGCAGTGTAAGACTAGAGGGAAGGCAGCTAGTCATCACCACCCACCGTCAACTCTTGAGCTCCTCTTTTACCAACAAATAGTGGGATTGATCGTTACATTATAACGCCCCCACGGCTGAAAGGGCGAGCATGTTTGATGGGACATTCGAACCCGCGACCCTCAGATTGCGAGTCGAGCGCCCTAACCACCTGGCCATGCCGGGCCTCTTCACTTTGAAAGTTTTCAGCTGATCCGTTCTGCTCGTGATACTTTTTAAACAATATCTTCGTGTTTGGCGATGGACGAGGATATTTCTCTTCTTCGAGTTTGGTATTCAAGGATGTAAAACTATAAATATAATTCTTTGAGATTAATATCTACGTAATAACTTGCTACAGTGAAAATGGGAGTCCTGAAAAGAACAAGTTAAAGTATTATAAAATAGTTCTAACTTAATAAAAATTAGGATTACGTTATTTGTTTTAGTGCAAAGCTGCGTGTTTGTCAATCTGGGTTCTGTCCACTGCGAGGAATCAAACCCCGGATTTTAGCGTTGAAAATCCATAAACTTACGAATGACCCAAGTGGAGACAGAATCATAAAGGTATACAATGGGCTATCTGTATTGTGCCCACCGCGAGTATCAAAACCCGCCTTTTAGCGTCATAAGCCCTCCTACATAATGCTGAGTCGCATGGGGATAACTATGTTATATAATTACTCTTAAATAGTTGGTTAAAAGTGTAAGTGACTAAATTATTTTCATGACTTAGTGGAAAAATCACTTATGAGTGGAAAATAATTTGAATGAATTAAATTAGTAATTTTTTCTCGTTTAGAAGTTGGTTAAAATATTCTCATTTACAGTGCATTACATCTCTCTTTGTATGTACCAAACGTTTTGTTCTTCTGGTTAAAAAAAAACAAACTAAAATTCTGTAAACAATCCACATGGGCATAAATTTCTTACTGTCCATTTTATTATGAGCTGATTACAAATACTGCAATTCAACTGTAGGGTTAACGTTTGAGTTTGTATCGTGATGGAACGTTTTCGTACCTGTAATTGAAACATTTCATCTTATTCATTTTATCACTTGATTTTCTGGAAAAACAACAATTAAGCGATTTATCTTAGACTTTAAATCTATTTTATTGTTTGCTACGTCCAATAGTAGTTTTACTTGTATTCTCAACTAGTATGTTTATTTGTTTTAATTTCGCGCAAAGCTACACGAGGGCTATCTGCGCTAGCCGTCCCTAATTTAGCAGTG